GAATACATGCACCAGTGAACCTACAACTACACGATTTATATTTTAAAAATAATTAAATTCACTTAGCATTCAAAACTTGCAAATTTTGAAAAAAACAAATTTGCTGATTAAATACGGACAACTGTTTAACTGAAGTAAAACGGGTTTTCCCCTTGCTATAGATGTCTGCCTAGTTCAGTTCAGCCACATTCCGCTACAGTTTGCCTTTATTATCAGTTCGAAATGGGGTGGTTCCATAATACCCGCAGTGTTCCATAATACCACCTTCTCCTCTATTTGTTTTTAAATGTCATTATTATAGAAACAATAACGCTAAATGAGCATTTATGTATCAATGTTTATGTAAATGTCATTTAGTATGATATAATCATGAATAAAATTCAGTATTGCAAAACTAAGCATATTTTATATCAGAAACACTTACTGATAAAAGAATAGAGGATAGAGATTCCATGGCACGTATAATCTGTTTAATGTAAGCCCAGAATTTTTATTATTCAGTTATATGGCACCACTGGATATATCATGGTTTTTCTTTGTCTCCTGACAAGACTGATATAATGAGGGGCTACTGTATTTAATATATTATCTTATTTTATATTATACCTTTGTTTTGTTTTTTAGATATTTTTACCTGATCTGCCATTAAAAGATCTTTTACAATAATTTTTGAAACAATACTTTTTATCTGTAAACCAAATAAATCAGGACAATAATATGCAATATGGCCTATGGATACAACTGCTGTGCGAAAGAACTGAGAGTCAAGAGACAAATGCTGTTTTAAATGCTGAAAATAAATAAAAAATACAAATAAATAATGTTATGATTTAATCAAATAAATTTTATATAATATTAATATATTTCTATTAAATGATTTAATCTAAATTATCTACACACCAACCGAATGCTGAAAAAGTAGGACGTGGGCACTGAATATGTCCACAGCTGGCGTTGTAATAACCGTCGATGGTTATATAGTTAGCTTCTATACGCTGGAAGAGGAGATCGGACTGGAGGTCCGGATAGCGTAACTGGCAACGCATCTGCATGGTAAGCAGGAGTTGTGGGTTCGAGTCCCGCCCCGGGCCGATTTTTTCTCCCAGCGGTTCTAAATTATTTAAATTAATTAATTTATTTATAATTATTAATGTTAATAAGAGATGGCGCCTAACGCTTACCTCTAGAGCCAAATTCATTTAATAATTAGCCTTATACTAGCCCGATAGTTTTTCGGCATTTGGTTGGTGTGTAGCTATATTATATATCGGGTTTAGCGATGTTTGTTAATCTAAATTATTCTCTTTATCCAAGCATTAGAAAAACTTTTATTACAGAATAATTTTTAATAAAATTTACATTACTGACAATTTCTCTAACTATTCTCTTAAGTATATAAAAACAAATCAACTGAATCTAATAAAAACTAAAAGCATTTACCAAATTGAAATACAGGTATATCCCAGGTTGCAATAAAACAAACAGCAGATACAATTGTCATATATTGTACCCTCCCATGATCTGACTAAGCTATCCCCACCAATACAATGCTTCATCTGTTCCAAGTGTTGCTATCTGTCCAGTTTATGCACTATATGTCTGGATGTCCAGTTGAAGACCAAAAATGTCTGGGTTTTAAGAAAATTTGGCAAATCATCATTAATTAATTATTTTTGAATAATACAGTTGATTTTACACAATGTAAGTATTGAACAATTATGGCTGCTAATCTCAAAATTTGTAAAATATAATGTAGATGATATTCAAACTTCTAATATGATAACTAATCAAGTTTTTTAACTGGAGAGAGCGACTGAATTTAGAAATTTATGTGGCAGATATTGAACAGCTAATTGAAACCCATGAGGAAGAATTAGCAAACACAGAATTGATGGAGATACTACATGAAGAAAATATTCTAAAGATGACCAATGAAGACAGACGAATATTACATCCGATCCAATACTAGTCAAAACATTGGAAATTACAAGAACTGCATTAATTTTTAAAAAATCCAGCAATAAGTTTGCTTAACTTCCCTGGCAACATTTGGTGGCAGCATCTATTATCATATTTTATTTTAAAAGCTTTATATTTTTAACTATTATAAAATTGCAAAAAGCTTAATTTTGAGCAGAAATAGGTTTTATACAAAATTGTAAATGCTAATAACGAGTAAAATTGTCATTGTGTAAAATCTAATAAAAACTAAAAGCATTTACCAAATTGAACCAAAACCAAATTTACCAAAGTCTGGACACTATTGGAGATACACATGACCCCGTTTACCTCCCCATCCCCTTGATATTTAATCAACTAAATTTAATAGCATCAATCACCCTAAAATAAAAAAACCTCTCTGCAAAATTTCAGAAATTTTCAACAAAAAGCTCAGAAGTTATTAAATTGCCATCAAAATAAAATATGTATGTAACAGTGTCTTCTATAAATATGCAAAGTTATGTAAATCTATTGTAAAATAAATATATATAAGTTACATCAAAGCTTTTAGTTGTGTTTTATTTGTTTATTGATGTTATATGCATTTATTTAAAATTAAACTTAAGATGTATGTACGAATTAAAATAAAATGTATGTAAATGTATGGGAAATGGCAATTCACAATAAAACCATTTATGATACAACCACTATTTGATGGTACACATTATATACATAACCTGGGTTACATCCGTATAACAAAAATTCATTCTATATATAAATGTTGAAATATAAGAATTTTATACAACAAAAGTGCCAGCACCTTTGAGCCAGCTGATACTTATTATTTAACCTATCCCATGTTGAAATTTTTCTTTGTTGTGTGTGGCCACCAAGTTGAATTTTTATCAATGTTAAGCTTAACAAAATTTTTTTTAATAATAATCGTGACTACTTATCGTTAAAAATGATTTTTTTTTATTTTTCACAAACAAAATAGATATATTAATGAATATAAAAACAAAAAAAATTACATTTCCAAGGTTTGTTTTAATATAAAAATTATGACACATAGCAACATCTAGTATCAAAAACGTTCCCATGTAGAAACAGATATGTTCGGGGTCAACGGGGCAGGTCAAATGAGGTCAACACGAAAATATTCAGGAACAATATGGGGCAGGTTAAACTAAAAACTCAGGAAATACTTCTACTACACTAAACTGTAACTCTAATTTTTTAACTGAATATTTAATGATGCAATTTTCTTTTGTTGTCAACTGCCAGAATTTCAAATAAACTGTTTTTCAATTTAAATTTCTCACATATTATAAAATGAAACAGAATAATATACAACAGATTTTATTCTATATAATTTGTACTGAAAACATGATCAAATATTATAGAAAGATATTTCGATAGTGCAACATTTTTCAATAATTGTCCTTTAATCAATTAGTTTAGTTTAGTTAGTTCATTGTGAATATCTTTCTTAAATAATTTGTGTGTATTTTATAAGTTGCCTTAAGTTCAAAACCAGAAATTGGGACATTATTGCAAGCTAGCATTGTGATAAAAAATTTGATAGATACCCAGAATTAAGAGGGCAGTAGCTATTCTGGAAAATAAGTGAATAATTCTAATTAATCTAATTTTATTGAACTATCATTTATATAACACTTTTATTTTATTTGTTGAATCAACTGTACTGTTTGAAATTCATATTTCAACTAAATTTTTGTTAGAAAACCCAGCTGCTCCCATTGTGAACATAGCCAAACTCATTGACATAATTAAAAATAAAGATCTCTTCTCTTAGTCCCACAAAGCAGAGAGTAAAAGAAATAAATCAATAAAAACATAATTGATTTATTGTTAATGACTGCACAAAATCATCAATAATTTAAAGCCATTATACAGCACTACATAGGACCAAAAGACACACAATGATACACTACAGATTACTGAAGGTTACACATGTGAGGATAGTTGGCATATGCATGTATTACTATACAATACATGCAGACATGTACCACCTGCAATTCTTATTTGATTGCCTTTAATACAAATTGGAATATTTTCAAATAGAAATGGGCAAATGGGACATTCCAGAAAAATTTTCCTATCAGGACGAAGTATTTGTCCAAATCGAACAAATACCAAAAAAATTTGATATATATGGCAACCCTAATTATACACTTTGTTTTTGTAACATTGTTAACTAGATATTTAATTTTGAGATGAAATGAGCCCTGATTGAAATTATCTTGAAGGTGAATGCAATTAATCCAAAGTTTTAAATAATTTTTGAATGGACTGTATGAAGCAGTATCTCTTCATATTAAAAACTTAAAAACATTAAAATATTATTTAATCAATCAACTATACCATATTTGAAGTAATTTTTATAATACTTACATCAATAACATGACCAAATACACGTTCTTTATTGGATGTTACAACATTTAAACATGCAACAGCATGTTTTGCTTGTTTCACAGTACCATTTTCAGCAAAGTTTTGTAATAAAGGCAATAAACGTCTGTAAAAAAATAAAATGGGATATAGTAATAAGACAAATAATTCTTGATTATATATTTATGACTAGTATTTATAGAGAATATAATGCATACCAACTACAAATATAAAGATAGAGAAGAAACTGTTTCAAGATTAATTAAAGAATTAACCAAAGATTATATTTGGAAGCTACTTATAATTTTTGCTTAATTCTTTACTAATTAAATTTGGTGTCTAAATCAATGTTTTTTTTTTATTGTTTATTAATTTTATTCTTTAGATATTTTATTTATAAATACAGATTAACAGCACAAATATATTTTTTGACATATTCAATATATTTATTTAAAATTTATTATTTTTTTATAGACAAACTTTCAACATTTCTCTATTATATACTAAAAGTTGAAATTTTATAATTACATTCAAAATTAAAACATACGCTGAGAAATTTGGATGATTATTTTCAATTTCTGAACCAATATTGGTGAAAATCTGTAAAGTAAGGTCAGCTGCTGTTTCATCTTCAGATCGTAAAAAGTTCATTAATTCTTCATAGACTTCTTCACCATGGAATGTTTCTGGAAAAACTCCTGACAGTATCTGAAAAATTAAAAAATACTGGTTAGTCTACATATTAAATTAGCAATATATGTATAAAATTATATAACAATGATTTCTATATTATCTTTGTAACATTATAATAATCTCAAATTTAATAAAAATTTCAAAATTTAATGTAACTCTTTAAACATTTATAGAATAAGTATCATAAGACCATAAATCTAAAATTAATTCAAGATCTAAACATTATAAATAAAAAATTGTGTAAATTAATTCAATTAAATTTTAATAAAACTGCAGGGATTCCCTTTTTATGTCAGATAATGGGGAATTTCTGAAGGCCCATTTTTGTTAATTCTAAATCCAACTACTGAAGATTTTTTTTCCCTGAGATGCCACAAGGCACTTTAAAAATCTATCATGCCATCTCTCTTGCATATTTCATCAGATACTGCATCTTGAACAGGTTAACAATCTTTTCAACTAAACTTTCCAGAAAATCTAAATATACCACTTAACAGAGAAAATGCCACATTTTAAATGTATGAGCAAAATGAGATTCTGTATTTTTATGGAATGACCAGCATGCCAGTCCATTCAGAGGAGACCATTAAATCATATATTTCCGCATAGTAAAAACTGGCATGCTGGTTTAAACAAAGGGAATGCCAGCATGCCAGTTTAAGTGAGGTTATGGATCCCTCTCTAGAGGGTGCATTAGAAAAACGAAAGAGTTTTTATTCTAAAACCATGAAACTGTCAGCATTACATCAATAACCATGATTATATGTTTAATTTCTTCATTTTGTCTTCTTTCTAAAAACATAAAATACACTTGGAATTTCGGAAGTGCTTTTTTAAGTGTATTTTATTGTTGTTTGATTCAAAAATGCAAAAATAAACATATTAAATTTAAGAAACTCTCTGTAAATTATCTTACACTTACACTGATTAACATTGGCTTTGTGTGAAATTTGAGAGGAAGGTGTAATTTTTAAGGTGAAATAAATGGTCAATGTAGCCCACACTGACCTACTACTACTACTACTACTACTACTACTACTACTAATGTCAATAAGTTTTTAATCGTTTTATTATCTTGTAAACAAAAACTCTCTTCCTGATTTTAAGTCAGTTAAATTAAAATGTTATTATTTTATTATACTGGGAAGAATGTTTTCTTTAACAGTTAATTAAAAACGAGTTATGTTAGTTCTGATTAATTTTATATTTTAGTTGCAGTTTAACTGACACTGGTACCCTGAGGTTTTTGGCATGTTGGTCTCCCTCATTTATATGCAGCATGGTGGTCATTCTGCAAAAATACAGTAAAATTTTGAGGTTTTATCTAAATCAAATGGCCAAATTTACAGGGTAATTTGGCCTGAACCAATAGGTTTATGGCTCGCATATTGGATAATACATTTGGCAACATGGCATGAGATTGAGTATATAAGTCCTTCAATTGTGTTCTGAGGAATTGCAAACTATGTGATATTGACTAGGGTCCACAATTCATCTCATTTCAAGAGCATCAATAGAGAAATTCACTTAATAGCCAATAATGTCCAGCAAGTTCTCAACTAGAGAAACATCTATAGATTGTGCAAGCCAAGAAAGCACCTAGACACCATCTTACAAGAACTGTCTGCCTGTATATGAAAAGAGCAAATGAAGTAATAAAATTACTGTAATTTAATTCACTTTTAATTATAAAAAAAAAGTCTTAATACTAGAAATTTCCCCTTCAGGCATGATGGAATACTTTTTAGACTGGTTGAGGTTGAAGTAGAGGTAGAAAACTAGAGAGGTAGAGAAGTAGAGGTTGAAGAATTGAGAAGAGTAGAGATTTCAAGAAATTCAAGTAGCTAATATTTCTACAAATTAAGTACCCTATACTTTCTGTCTGAACATAACTGATGTGTGATGGTAAATTTTAAATAACAGTCTTGTTAGATCATTACTTCCAAGTGGGTAATAGAATGTCATGTGGTCACTTAGAAAAGTTTTTTAAATAAGTTGCTATATAAATGACATGATATGACATTTTTTAAATTTAATGTTTAAAATTTAAATTTAACAAAGTTAATTTAAAATTATGCCATTTATAAAAATATTTAAAAATGCAACTTAAAGTAAATGATATCACTGAGCTGAAATTATTAAAAATTTTTTTATAGCTAATAGTTAATATTTCTGCAAATTAAGTAGGCTGTACTTTCTATCAAAACATAAAATATAATCAAAATTTCACCTGGATTGGACAAAAATAGCAGGATTTATAGTGAATTCACAAACAAACACATACAAACAATGGTTTTTATATTATTAGTTTTCATCATAATTTCTTAAATTTAATAAATCATAAATAAAATACAGTGGGTGATCGGTTAATGAACATAATCCGTTCCAAGACTTTGTTTGCTATCCAAATTGTTTGTTAACTGATTATTGATTTACGATATGTTTTTATGGGAATTTGATTAATTCATTCTGGAGACTGGAAACCAAAAACTAAAAAATATATACTATCTTACTATGTTTATTTATATTTAATAATAAAAATACATATATACACAGTCTTGCATTTTTATTACTCATGTTTTTTCTGTTTGTGGGAGTTAAAGAATCTGTCTAATGTCGATTGCTTTTTTCTCTTCTTCAAGATTTCTCAGAAGTAATTAATAGCATTGTAATTGTAGAAATTCCTAAGCCTATTAACATCAACCTGGTTTGGATACCATTCTCAGACTGTTGTTCTGACATCATACCACTTCTTCAAAAAAATGTTTAATAGCAGATATTGACATTAATCCTCTTTTTCAGAAGAAAACATATCTTGCCAAGTTTCTTGGTGTTCTTCATTCAAGAATTCTTGTGTTCTTCTTCATTAGATCAGTTTCAGGTTCCATTATAAGCTCTTCAATGTTCTTTACTTCTCAGATATGATTTTGGTTACTACTTTAGCTGCTTGAGTCTTCTTGATTACACTGTACCTTTTTTAGATAAGATTGAACTGCGGCCTACTGTAGACATGTTCAAGACATACTGCCCAGCAACAACAGACATCAGACATCTGCCCACTCTCTACCTTTGCTATTATACTCTCACCTTTCGAAAATAAAAACCGATGAAAAACTTAACGAGTGCCCACCTACTGTCTTGCGAATACTATAAAAAAAATTGTTTCTGTTGAAAAAATAAACGGCTGGAATTACAAGGGAGAGTATCAAAGTTCAGAGGAATACTATCTGATCAGTATATACCGAGTTGAGTGTCAATGTCGACATCTCCAGCGCTCCGAAAAGTTTCGAATTGTTGTTTGAAGACAAGGGAAGACCAATCGGTATTCATTATTTTATGTTGCTTCTTGTGTTTGTTCTGTGAGGTGTTCATTGTCTGAACATAAAAAACTTTTATAAAAGTGTTCGTTTGTTCATTATCCGATTTGTTCGTTAATTGATCACCTACTGTATTTAACTAAAAATAAAGATAAAATGAATTATTATTTACCAATAATAACTGAAGACCTTTTACAGCAGAACTAATAAGTCCAAGTTCGGCATCAATTTCTCCAATACCCACAAGTGAATCTTTTACATAGCGCAGCAACATTTTTATTCCATCTCTGTCAACCATAACAGGGGCAACTCTTTCAAGAAGATGCTTTATAGTCATATAAAAACTATTTGTATGAACAGGAAGCCCAAGACTTTTCAAAACTTCTTTCTAAAAATAAAATTATCTGTGTTATTATTAAAGTAATGATATAACAAAATTTAATTTATTTCAGTAAACTGCACAATTCAATTTCTTGGCTAATTTTTTAAAATCAGTGTTTACTGATTTAGAATATTACAAAAATATTAAAATAATGATATCAACTAATTAATTTAAACCAATTAGTGTTTAATTTTAGTATATTAGTGTATGTGTATATAGTTTAAAATATTAAAGCAAACTGATCATAGAAAACATTAATATGGTGGTATCTTCAAGCTAATATATTGTAATGTCATTCACAAATTAAATGATAATCCAGATTTGTAATTTGTGTTGTAAAATAAACTTTACTATATTTTATATAATAAAATTATTTTTAAAATTAAAAATAAATAGCTATTAAACCAATAACTTATGCTGTACATTTTTATTGTTAAATTTCAGTCCCCAACTTAAGACTATCTGACTTGCAACAATATATAACTATGACAGCTGAAACTATTATATTAAAAACTTATTTTAGTTCCAACAATCAGTTGCACTTACTAATGTCACAAAATAACAAACATTAAATATAATATTGTAACAGATAATAAACATGCACACACACCTATTTTATTTCTCTCTTAAAAATTAAGACTTTTTAAGGACTTTCAAGCACTTCTAAGAAAACTTTTAAATACTTATTTCAAGGTCCTTAATTAATGAACAGATGGACGAAGAATGGAGTAGAGCAAGGACTGCATTCTACTCATTATCTTTTGAAGAGAGATAAAGACAAGAATACAGTTCCAGATTGGGTCTTCTGATCTCCAAAGAATGCATTAAATATTTCAACCCATTATTTTATTATAAATATTTTAACAGTAATGTACAGTTGGATTTGCTATGGTTGAAAATATCTTAGCAGAACTTACACAATATATCATATGTTTTTACTCCCTTTTACAGACTGTCAATTTCACAAAAGATCATACTTTTATTGAATTTCTTGTAACATGACAAACATTGAATATCTACTACATGATGATTTTAAGCATTTTAAACATGTTTGTAAACATGTTTTGTAATTCTTAATGTTTATATATTTTTCTTATTTCTATTATCATATTATCAGGGTCCATACAGATAATTCCATCTCCGATTCCCTGACCAATTATGATATTATTCCCTGACCTATTAAAGTCTCTGCATTTTCCCTTTCCATTGGGTAATATTTGACCAAGTCTATTTAAGCCATTTGTACACAATTATATAAATTTTTTTATTAAAAAACACTTTATTCACTTAAAAAAAACGAAAAACTTTGTGTAAAATTGATCATGTAATTAGCTACATTATTTCTATGTCATAAAAAATTTAATGATTTTTAAAAAAATTAATTTGTAAATTTTAGTTAAGTAAGGAAAAGACTCAGGTCATATCATAAAATCAAGTTTTCTTAAAGAAAGGAGGCAAAAAATTCAAAATAATTTAAACAGAATAAATCACACTCTGTGTGAGAGGAAGAAATTGCTTATCGTATGCTATTTTTGGTCCAGCACAGACTCATTCAAGGTCATTATAGTTCTTCTCATCTCTCCCTGAAACTTATAATGGGAACAGCAGAATTTTGATGGGAAAGCAAGTTGTTGTCGATGGTGTTTTTTAAAACACAACTTTAACTCTATGGTGATATTTTGGTATACTTCCAAAAAATGTGGACTTCTGAAATTCCATGGGTCGTATGAAGATGAAAATTTAGTTAGAGAGAAGACATATCACAGATCATCAATCTGTCAAAATTGGCAAGATTATTATCTCCATATAATGCAGGTGGCCAGAAGTGAAAAATTCAACAAATAAAAATACATAAATTGTGAGGTCTGCCTGCGGTCCAAAATGTCCCACGCACAATATCATTAAGCCAAGTGACAGTTATTTGCCTCCCCAATGGTATCAACTGACTGTAAAGGGTTAATCAGATGTCGCACAGGTCAAAAAAATTGGGAGGGTCATGTATGGAACACAATTGCAATCATTTAAGGCATAAATCCATTTTTGTGTTATTAGAAGATAAGATAAGATGTAAATGAATAAAGTCATGATAGTTATCAAGAGTTAATATCTATCGGTTCAGGTGGTGGCACACTTGAAGTATTTGCACCAGAATTGATGCACTTGGTTTTCATATGCTTTCTATACAACATGCATTGTTTGGCATTAGTTATTTCAGGCTTTTCTAATTCCTTGTAAATTTTTCTTTCTTTCCAATGATATACATTTCTTACATTTCTGTTCATATTTCCTTTGCAATTTCTTTGACATTATGAAAATTTTCTTTAACTCACAAACTTATTGGCTTATAAGTTTATAAATTCTATTTTATTGGTTATTATTACTAAATAATATTGTAGATCCTGTCATTCTGTACAAATCAAAATCAATTTCAACGTCCTATCTTTTCACAATCGAAAGTTATACTCTGACCAAATGCTGTGCGGCACCACTATTTTCAGTGTTCACATGCAACCCAAAATCCCTCTCACATCTGCATACCCCACTACCCACTAATTTAAATACAAACATAAAATAAATTTATCCAATCTATCCAATAAAATTTTAATCGTTAGATTATCATTTATAGTTTATGAGATATAAGCACAACAAATCTTTCCATTCTTTTGATTGCTCCAGTTTTCATACACCCTCCTATACCAAACCCAATTTAAAGACACATTCAGATCAAAAAGGAGCAAGAGCAACAGATCGATTCTGCAGTATTTGCAGATTTCCTGACATTTGATGCCATTCCTTGACTTTCCAGGTCTGTAAGGACCTTTTATGATGCTTTTATGTCTATTTTATGTATTTTACTTGGTTTATTCATATTTGTATTTTTATGTATTTTATTCAAATTTACTGGTTAAACAGAGGGAAGAAATCTTACATCTTATACATGATATTTTCTATTGTAATTGTGATAAATAAATTAATTAATTTAAGTTAAACTTAAATCTTATTTAATATTTAACTATACATAATGTTTTTGTCATATAAGCATAAAAGAAATTATTACTTCAACAGAAACTAAAATTTTATTTATCATTAGCATGCAAACACAAGCAGTTTTTTTAGGCACGACAGCATAAGATTACCAGTAATGTTCTGCTAATTTTTCATATGTAATTGCCATTTCTCAAATTTGATGATCTGAAAACTCATGTAATATGTTTTCTCTGCACATGCCAAATTTTATCATAAGTTGTTTGGTTTTTGAGATATAGTCAACTCATATTAATACAAATTGCTAGTGAACAGTAGTGAACACTTTATTGAAAATTGGTATTAATGATTTTCAGGATAAAAGTCAAGTTTGTCTAATTTACGAAATTACAGCTTAATAGACAATCAAAATCTCTAAATTATAATATTTTCAATTAATTTAATAAATAAAGTCAAATTTATTTACAAAAACAAATTAATGTTCTAAATGATTTTCAAATCAAACAAAATGAAGAGGAGACTATTCACTGTTTAAATGTAGACCAATACGTCAGAGTAGTTAAACAAAGCTAAAAGAAATCTATGATTTTTCTGTTTAAGATTTTTGAAAAACTAGAAAATATTTTTGGTGTCAAAAGAGCAAAGGAGGAGCCAAATTTGGCACAAAGTAACCAAACCTTACAGGTATCACTGTATGCACTCCCTGGCATGCAAACTAGCAAATGTTTGCATGGGACTTCATCAATTTAATGGGGTAGACATCATTAAACTTTAACTCCTATTTTTTAAGTACAACAGAATGTCTGCTTAAACCAAATGTTTGAATTGCGCTAAAATTGGAGATCAAACCTGTCTTTGCTTACCAGAAGAAAATCTATTCCACTCAAAATGAAACATTTATTACAATACCAATTTTTATTATTCAAGCCAAAAAGTGTAAAAAAGCAACTGTTATCAGAAATAGGGTTATTTCTGGGGGTTTTGAAGGTAATTTACAGTTTGGTTTCATGAATTGTGATAAAATTTTTGCTTGCTTTATTGCAAACAAAATTAATATTCTGACAATAACATTTTGCCAGGGCAACAGCAAAATTCACTATAATGTGAAAATTTGCTTTATTTGTGTTCATATTAAGGAAAGTTAACTGTATAGAATAATGTCCTAGACTAAATTCCCTATGGGAGCCCTTCAAACTATGCAACAGCTAGGGCTAATGTGAAACAAATTCTGATGAAAATAAATGATAGGAGGAACATTGTGGTGTTTCTCAGAATGACCAGAAAATGATTTCTCTATATTTTTCAGGCACAAAATAAACCCACAAAGCATTTTATTACTTATTATTTATTTTATTATTTTATTAATGCAAGCTAATGCATTGTAATATTGCATAATAAAATATTTGAAAAAACTTAACATAAGAAAAAATAAAAAATAAAGAAAAGAGAGGTGGAAGTAATAAAAGCCAACAGTCAATTTGAACACAAGTCATTTTCATGTCAAGTGTAAGCACTTCTCACATGACTATGGAAGCAGCTGAAAACCTTCCACATATGTGTTCTTAAAGTATCTTTATGTCATAAAAAAAATGTAATATTTCCATTAAACTATTCATTTTACAGCAAAAGTGAATTAAACTTTTTTGTTTCTCTAATTTGAAAATGAACTCAATTGCATTAATTTGAAATTTCAACATTTAATGTTATTTTTACAAAGACAATGACTAGCCAGTTGCAACTAATATTTTAGTGTTTCTTATGACTTATCAGCCTCTATCATTTGAGCCCAGTTTCATATAAATTCCTGATTTACCATTAATGACATTCTCTTGTTAGTAATTACATGGTTTGAGTTGGATTAAGTTATACATATCAAGTTTATCAGTTTGTAAAATGATTTATTCTAATGATTTCCTGTATGTAATTATAATATAACGAATTCTAATGATTTAAAATCTACTTTATAATACTTACCACACTATATTCTGCATCACTGCAAGATACACATCCCCTAAAAATTGCATCCATATGTGATCTTACTCGAGAATTATTTTCTAACAAATTGCAAAATTTCAGAATATATTCTTGAGCTTTGATTGGTTCCAAAAGATTTTCTGCATCAAAATGATAAAATAAAGCTTAATATACACAAATATATATAAGTCTTTTAAATGTACTATAATATCCAATATATTATTAAACGTAAAAAAACATAATTCATAAAAAATTTAAATTTTTGATAAACTACTTTGTTTCCAAATATTGATGTCAACAAGCTTATTAGCTTTGAAAATGCATACTTGTATAAATGCATACTTGTTGCATCTGAAATAAACTGAGCTGGTACAAATTTTGCAAAAGTAGTTAATCTCTATCTATCTACAGTGCAGAAGTTTTAAGCATGGTGATAAAATAATATTTGTTTTCCTGGATTATTGATTTTGTTAAAATGAGATACCTATGTTTATTCACCTACAAAAAAAACTGTTTGTTATTTTTAAAATTCTATTACAGAATTTGACCTAACAATTCATTTAGTCAAAAACATAAATGATTGGGACATTCTCTTCACATACTCTTCCTCCCAAAAATTTAGATTAATAATATTCCTTAAAATAAAAAAGTCTAGCTTAAAATAATTTGTCTTACTGTATTGCCTAGACTTCATTATTTTAAGAGGTATTTTTAACCTTTAACTTAAAGAACTGTTAATGACCTTACCTAAATTGTAAAATATCCTTTAGTTAGTTTTCCTTTACTATCAATATTTCTTAATTTTACAATATTCAGCAATTAATAGAAAATTGTGATTGAACAAATTTTGCAATTAATTTTTTTACTAAATCAAATAAAATAAAATATATTAACTAATCCTTTAATTTCATATTATTAAAGAGACCTCAGATAATTAAAATAAATTAAAAAATTATATTTATATTTAATTATTACTTACTAGATAATCCTAATACTTTAGTTACAATAATTTTATCTCTTTCTTCACTTTTAGGTGTTGTTAACATGTCTAATATATTTCTAACTTGATTTCTCACCCTAAATTAATTTTATTAATAATTAAAAATTTTTAACTTTTTAAAATAAAATAAAGAAAAAAAGCATACTTACATATTTTGTGACTTTAATAATTCATTAAAAGCTCTAGACAATGAACAATATCAATTAAAATGTAATAAATTATGTCTATATCAAGATTAATTATTCTATACTTTTAGAGATAAAAACTTAATAAAAAAAATACACTTAAATTTTTATGTAAAAGATATGGAATATCACTTAAAACACAAAAACATCTTTTTAATTGTTTTTTAAAAAGATATTTAAATGACAAAATTTAATACAATATACAGTAAAGCATCAAAAATCTGAATTTGACCATTGAAAAATAGATATTAACCCTTTCAATGGTAACTTTGTTGTTGATGTTATTTTGCCTGTGTTCTTTTGGCCTTGCACTGTTGATGTTCTAACATTTCTTATTATGTTCACAGTTGCATAAACACAAATGACCATTATTAAATAATAACTGTATCACATTAATAATTAATAAAATTAAATATTATTAATAAAATTAATAATATTTAATAAAGTAACTAATTGTAATAAGTAATTACTTAAACAAAATATATTATTGAACTTACTTTGCTGCATAATCATCAACCATTACAAAGAGTTGATATAACTTTTTAACTCTTTCTTCAAGAGGACTTTGATATGGAACTAAACAAGTGTGTAATATCCTTTCTACTAATAGTCTGCAAAAATTTAAAAATGAAATAATTATTTAATTAATTAAGTACTGTACATCATCATTATGTAAATAATGTTTGATTCTATGTAATTAATTAAGCAAAATATCTAAATTTTGTAAAATAATGTAAGTAATTATTTGTGATTTCCAAATTAGTATATACCTGGAGTTGATCATAGTAATAAATACAATTGAGAAGGGGATGAAAGATCATCTAATGAAGCCTTTAATGATCTTGTATTTTTTGCAGTATTCAGCCTTAAATAAAAGGTAGTGCTGCAGTATGTTTTTACATAATTCTGTGTTCAAAAACTGTTAAGATACCTAATTTTGTGTTTGTCTTCAAACATATCTATTAACTAGCAGGTGGGCCCGGCGTTGCTCGGGCAAAAGTAACGATAACTAAGATAAAGATTATTACGTTACAGTCAACCTTACCCGTTTTCACAGAATGCAAGAATTGGGTCCCCTTGTTTCCAGACTAATTAGAGAACTTTTAGATGGTTCTAAAAATATGTTCGATTTCCTGCAAAAATGAAAGAACTGCATCTGCGCCTGTAAATCTTGCACGTCGCTTTCTCTTAACAATTCCATTGTTACGTAA